CAGGCATTTCTGCTTTTCTCTTTGTGACTAATTATTACTTTATTGGTACTAATATCTATTAGTTTTTTTATTTTCTCTATGAACAGTCCCGTTGCTTTGTCTATATTATTTATTGAGTATAATTGTTCCCAGGATTCTTGTTTGACATTTGATATTAGTTTTGAATTGTGGACAAAAAATCTGTAATTTTCCTGGTTGTTACTAACGGTAAGGATGTTAGAATGTTTTTCATTTGAAGATATCAGTAAAATAGTGGAGAAGTGGTCAGTAATATCGCTTTCTAGGATTATTGGTATACAAGTAATTATGTTGGATAGGTCTTTCACAAAGCAGTGATCTATACATGTGCCACTGATGGTCAGTAAAACCAATTCGCTACACATCCCACCACGGCATTTGCGGCATTTCTTGTTGGAGGTATTAGTCATACGTTCTTCGTTCATGTGCATCATGGGTTAATATCATTAGGGCAAAACATTCTCAAAGTAACACCGAAACTTACCCTTATTATCATCAAAATTGTCAATTCTAACAGTTATTTGTTGGCAATGTAGGTGATTGAAACATTGTTTTTCTGACTCCCATTGTCTCTAAGGTTTTTTTTTTGATTTACGACGTTTCAATCGTCATCAGGTGAACTTTAGAGCATGCTCCTTTTTTGACTATTTATATTGTTTGAGGACGTGACCCGAGGTGCTTTGCCTAAGCGTGATCTGCTATACCGGATTTATTCGTTTCTCCCCATTCCGTGTTGAACTTATGCTTTTTTATTCTTACTGAGAGTGGCATTTGTGTTTATCCTATGTATATCTCATGTATTCAGATGGTACCTGATATACACAATAATCCTTGGTGTTTTTGTTTTTGTTCATATGTTTTGACTTTGTGAAGATACTGCGAAGTGAAAATCTAATTTCAATTTGGTATCGTAAGCCAATTTGTTTGATTGCACCACTTATTTCCGTAAAATGTGGTAGAGTCTTTGAGGTGATCCTAGAAATTTGTGTATTGCAGATATTATTTGCTCGCTCGATGAGGGGGAGGTTAAGGCGTAATTACAACCCTCATCGACCACGCAAATAGCATCTGCAACACACAAACAAATCTCCAGGAAGAAATCAACTACATCAAAGAAGATCAGATGAGAAATGGCTGCTCAAGACGCTGGATAATCAAAGCTCTTGAGGAAGACAGCACCAACTAGAGCACAAACACGCGGAATGAACCCGAGCATACACTAATGTGTCAGAGAATAAGTGATGCAGCTAGTAGAATAGGAAGATCTCTACGAAATCGAAACTAGATTTTCAATCTGGGGTACCCGATCATGCTTGGACAAAGCACCACATAATACTTTGGGATCGTGCTAACATCTTACACAAGGAAACAACTGGCATCGGAGAGAAATAATAATAGTTATTCAAAATGGCTAGAGTAATCCAAGTGTTGAAATTAAATCAGTATGGCAACTGATTATAAGAAATATCAAACAACTGTAACTCAACAGACCGTCACAACCAACCACCGTCCACGTTATCCAAGAAATGACCATGATCGCCAGTTCACCTGAACACGATTGAACATCACATCAGTCAAAACGTCAATAAACTTTTAACAATTGAAGTCCGAAAAACAAAATCTCAATTGTCGATTGTTAATACTCGTAGTACTTCAAGTATATGTGGCTTTATTTAGCGGTCAGACGCACATGTAGGACAAATCATTCTCTCTCTACTTAAGCTACGGGAGGACCTAAATAATACATATCGTAGCTTCTACAAGGTAGTAATAGCTTAGTTGGAGCACCACTTTTGTTGGAATGTCTTGGCAAACCATTCAGCACCTCGCTGTGGGAAAATATGTGAATGAGAAGCCTTTTACAGGCAAGCCTACACATCGAATTGTGTGTAGTTGCTCCAAGGTACGTACTAGGAATTTGTGGTAATATAATCCTCAAAGTTGGATTTTTAGTAGCCGGATTGTAATCGTATAGGGTACCCTCATTTCACCAGTGCGCCGAAAGAGGTTGTTTGAAAAATAGATAGATATACCAAGTGTTTCGTAGTCGATCTTCACACATTTTTTGTAAGTCAGAATGAGAGACTCTATTTAGCTGTGCAAAAACTAGTATGGTGCCCATAAGATAACATGAAGTCCATGATTAAAGAAAAGGGATGAAACAGCATGTTGAAGTTCTAATTATGCTTTCCTGAGCTTGAAAAAAAGTTGCAATAGTAATGTGCTATTTATATGAAAGTTCATCTCATATAACGTCACGAAAAGATAAGAACGAGTTTGGGAAAATTGTTTTTTTTCGTCTTTGAAAATATTACAAATGGTGAAACTAAGTGGCAACTTTGACCCCATTTCACTGATTTAGTGCCTCTTGGCTTTTGCGAGATCCCAATGCAGAGGATCGAATATACAACACCCAAAAAAATAAACCTTCAACGTGACTATAAGGATTATTGGAAAGTTTTGTCAATCACAAACATCACAAACACCGCATGCGTATATATTAACGGTCGCCTTTTCTTACATTTGCGTTAGTGACTTATATGACGTAGATGTCAGATAAGGTTAAAAATAACGTTTGCCTATGCGGTACTTGTGATTACACTGATCAACAGCCAAAAAATAACCTAAATAAAATCAACAAAATATTACTATTTTTAATGTGCTAAAACCGGAATGAAACTTATTTTTTCAATATTAGTTCAAGCTTTAGAGATACGGTAATTATATGTGTTCCTGCTGTGACTGTGTTACTGTAATTCACAAGAATGCACGTGCTACATTTTTATCTTCGGCAAGGAAAGATGATGTAATCGGCATGATTGTGTTACGTTATACATACGAGTACATTATATTGTTTTATATTAGCCATTTTTTCCTCAGTTGGCTGACAGCGTTCATGCAAGATGTCTCGAAAGTGTGTAAACAATCCAGATCAGTTTTGTTACTTGTGTGGTGATGTGACTTTTGCATCTCAGAGACGGTCTATTACTCCACTAATAACAAAGGCATATCAGCTTTATTTCGGTTGTAAACTAGGTGATCAAGACAAATAGTGGGCACCCTACATCTGCTGTAATACATGTGCTTCAAGTCTGAGGAGCTGGTTAAATGGTAAAAAACGGTCTATGCACTTTGCTGTCCCAATGGTGTGGAGAGAGCCTACAAATCATATTAATGATTGTTACTTTTGCATGGTACCTTGTGTTGGACAAGCCACAGGTATGTCCAAGAAAAAAAAATCGGTTATTAAGTACCCAAACATACCATCTGCGATGAGACCTGTGCCTCACAGCGACGAAAATTCTATTCCAAAACCCCCAGAATCCTACACTTGCGAATCAGAAAACGAATCAGATCATGGCGATCGAGTGATTCGTCCGGAAGAAGATATGCCATCAACGTCAAGAGATCCTGATTTTATACCGAGCACGTCATGCCACCAACCGCACAAAATAACACAGTCAGAATTAAATGATCTTGTAAGAGATTTAGAACTTCCAAAATGTAAGTCAGAGTTACTTGGATCAAGACTGCAGCAGTGGAACTTGTTAGAAGACGATGTTTCGGTAGGTATGTGTTTTTCGTAAACGCCACAAAGACTTAGAACCATTTTTCAATATGGAGAATAACTTGGTTTTCTGCAGTAACATTAACGGCTCACTGGCGGCTTTAAATATAAACTATAACCCAGAAGAATGGAGATTGTTTATAGACAATTCAACATTGAGTTTAAAGGCAGTGTTATTGCATATTGGAAATATTTTACCATCTCTTCCTGTAGGGTATGCAGTTCACATGAAAGAATCATATGACAATATGAAGTACCTATTGACATGCATAAAATACGATGAGCAAAAATGGCATATTTGTGGCGATTTGAAAGTTGTTGCACTTTTACTTGGGCTGCAGCTAGGCTACACAAAGTTTTGCTGTTTTTTGTGTGAATGGGACAGTCGGGCAAAGGCACTTCATTACACCAGACAAAACTGGCCTGTTCGTCAATTCTTAGAGCCAGGTCAAAAAAATGTACAGCATATGCCATTAGTAGATTCGAAAAAAATTTTATTACCACCACTGCATATCAAGTTGGGCCTAATGAAAAACTTTGTCAAGGCATTAGATAAAGATGGGTCAACTTTTCAATACCTGCGTCAGAAATTTCCAAGACTAAGTGAGGCAAAGGTTAAAGAAGGTATTTTTGTTGGGCCACAGATTCGAAATATTTTGAAAGATACACAGTTTGAAAACACTTTAACAGGTATTGAAAAAACTGCTTGGAATGATTTCCGTCTGGTGGTCACTAATTTCTTGGGAAATAGAAAAGCTGACAACTATAAAACCCTTGTCAAAAATATGCTGTCATCGTATCAAAAGATGGGCTGTAATATGTCTCTTAAGATACATTTCCTACACTCACACCTGGACTTTCTTCCTGACAATTGTGGAGCCGTAAGTGATGAGCACGGCGAACGTTTTCATCAGGATATTTCAACAATGGAAAAAAGGTACCAGGGAAAGTGGAATCCTTCCATACTTGCAGACTACTGTTGGACTCTTGGTAGAGATGCTCCAGAAACGATCCATAAAAGAACAGCAAAAAGACAGCGCATATAGTGTTATTATTATTACTGTACTGATGTTTTCATAGTAATGTATCATATTGTATATACCTGACAACGGTTGTGGAATGTCAAAGTCAGTTAAGAACTAGACGTGGTATCGAGCGGTTGTATATGGAGAATATATTCGAATAGTGCGATACTCTTGTTTTTCTTACAAAGCAGCGGTGGGATACCTTAAAATCAGTTGAATTTTCCTACATCATGGGGAAAACTAAATTCAAATCGCGGAATAGAAGTGGGAAGCGGAGCCGAAAGGAAACCTCGAGTGAAAGTGACAGTTCGAGTTCGGCCTCTTCCCATAGATCGTCTTCAAGAATTATAAGTGATAGAGGTACGGCCTTCACATCTCGAACCTTTAAAATGTTTTGTGACACATATGGAATAAGGCATGTCCTAAATGCAGTCGCCACGCCAAGGGCTAACGGTCAATGTGAACGTTACAACAAAACAATCGTAAGTGCTCTATCAACAACTGCTGCAGGAAAAGATGAGCGAGATTGGGATAGATACGTAAAACAAATACAAAGTGCATTGAATACGAGTTTTAACAAAGGCATCAATTCGACTCCTATGGTGGCCCTGATTGGTTACAATTCTAAACATGCAGCTGAGGCGACAGTTTTGAGTGCAATTCAAAATGAGATAGATAGACTTGACCTAGAGGAGGTTAGGCATAAGATTTCAGGACATATTGAGGATGATCAAAAAAACAAAAAGAACGTTACGATAAAAGTCGACGCAATGCCACCCAGTATAACGAGGGTGACTTGGTCAGGGTATTGATAACGAGTATACCATCTACGGGAACTAGCCATAAGCTACATGCAAAATATAAGGGACCTTTTCGAGTTACGAAAAAATTATTCAACGATCGATACGAAGTTGAAGACTTACGAGAAGGCTTCAAACGGAAGCGAACTGTTGTAGCTGCAGACCAGGTCAAGGCATGGGTGACCCTAATAAACGATAATTAGAGGCAAAAGTTGCCCACATGCGAACATCGTATTTTCAAGAAGTTATTTTTGGCAAACGTTGCCTTCAAGCGAACGTCGCTACCACGTTATTTTTGGCAAACGTTGCCTTTAAGCGAACGTCGCTTCCACGTTATTTTTGGCAAACGTTGCCTTCAAGCGAACGTCGCTTCCACGTTATTTTCGGCAAACGTTGCCTTCAAGCGAACGTCGCTTCCACGTTATTTTCGGCAAACGTTGCCTATTAGCGAACGTCGCTTACTTACGAACAGCCTGGCAAACGTTGCTTGTAGATGAACGTCATCATGTGGAAAACATTTGCGCAAATCTTTCCTTACCTGCACTACATTTGATTGGACTGCAATTTTATTTTACCTTTCTCTTTATTGTTATTTTGAGATATGCATTATGTAAGATCTTGTGAAGTAATTTTTTTTTTTTTTATATTTCCTACGTTATTATAAGTCTAGGTTTTGAAGCTTTGAGAATTGAAGCTTTTCTAACGTTTAATTAGTCTGAGGACAGCCTAATGGTCAGGATAGCCGAGTGTTATTATTATTACTGTACTGATGTTTTCATAGTAATGTATCATATTGTACATATATATACCTGACAACGGTTGTGGAATGTCAAAGTCAGTTAAGAACTAGACGTGGTATCGAGCGGTTGTATATGGAGAATATATTCGAATAGTGCGATACTCTTGTTTTTCTTACAATAGTGATTCTTATAAGTGTATGAATCTTGTTACTTTTTTTAATATATCCTTAAAAATAAAAAGTTTTTTTTCTAAACCGCAACTAATTTTTTTATTTCATTGTCATATTTGGATTCAGCGCCCCCAAAATTAACAAAGAAGTGCACTTTTCCCACAATATACAATTAAAAAACTAAAATGTGTTGTCCAGTGTTATCGAAGGTCACAATTTAGGGGCGGATCCTTATAATTGAACTAATCTTGCCACCCGCCTAGCTGTTTTCTTGACCACTCGACTCGCGTTTCACTAATTATGTTAGGCAAGATTAAAATTTACTAAATTTTTACATTGCTTGTTTGTTGCCAAAATTGCATAGTCTTAGTGCAAACTTTTGACTCATTTGTCTGCCAATGGATACCAAAGTGGCAACGATGTTTCAACATAATAATACTTACCGGTGGAAATATCTATCTTCATTAGGCTTGTGCCACTCTTTGCAAATGATGTGAGAAGTGCCATGTCTTGAAATCGTGTAACACTACATTGACCTGCAAATACTCGCACTTCTTGCAATTAATACTGAATATACGAATTTATTGGCAGAATTGTAAAACAATTGACTTATGTCAAGTGCACTTTGATCCTCACTACAGACTATGAGAACTAAGAGACAAAGCCTTAACTGGCACCTTCTACCTAGTCGGTTTTGAGTTCCCGTTGAAGATGCTAACATATGGAAATACGTGTTGGGAGTTGAAAAAGCTGGTTTAGGGAGTGGTAAAACTCTGTTATAGTTAATGTAACTCCTGACCATCCATCTGAACTCATAAAATCACGTTTTATGGAAATCGTTTCTAGATATCCGGCAGCAACAGTTATCTATACAGATGGATCGCGAACTAACAGTGGTGTCGGCTGTGCTATAGTAGTCGATCAAACTGCACATCAATGGACACTATCACCAATAGCATCCATATTTACTGCTGAACAATATGCTATTTGGCAGGCCCTACGATACTGTGACATGTCGAACAACATAACAACAGCTATTATAGCTAGTGACTCGCTCTCAGCACTTCAAGGCCTAATGAACTATGCATCTCGAGATTCCTTAACTGTGATGTGTCTTGAAACTGTCAAACATCTCTTAAATAAAGGGGTAAACGTAAAATTTCTGTGGTTGCCAGGACACGTTGGTATACAGGGGAATGAAGCTGCTGATATGGCAGCGAAAGCAGCAGCAGCGCAACAAAACATCGACATCCCTGAAATAAAAATGTCTGATCATAAAAACTACCTCATAAACCGTATACAGCGACACTGGCAAATTACATGGGGTAACACTGATACCCACTTAAGACAGATAAAACCTAGTGTAGGATTATGGCCACATCCTATCAGACTGCCACGAGAGGAATGGGTGCGCATACATCGCTTACGCTTTGGCCACACACGTCTTACACATGCACATCTTTTGCTCGGAACAGATCCGCCCTTGTGCACTGGATGTAACTCTTCACTCACTGTACGCCACATTATCTGCACATGTCCGATATTGTCCCAATATCGAGTGATCTATGGACCATTTGATAACCTGACAGAGAGTCTCACACAACCAGAAAAACTGAAAAACGTCATATCATTCTTAAAAGTATCTGGTTTCTATTGGAAGATCTGACCTAATGAACTTTTTGGAAATGAACCATTTTAATTTTTGTGTATCTTATTCTCAACTGAGATTAAATGAATGTTATGTAACGATGATTTTGCATCATACCTACCTTAGCTTAGTATTGTCATCTTGAACTAAAATAAATATGTAACAATAGAATTTGGATAAATCCAAATACTTACGTGAACGCAAACAAGATCGCGAAATGCAGATAATGACCACAAAAAAAAAATTAATATTAATGAATATATGCCTGACAAATCTAGTCGTGTAACATTTCCCAGAGATTATCTTTTGTTGCTAATAGAATCTGAAAGTAAATGACAATAGTATATCCTTTTCGATTAATATCTGGAATTTGCGTAGTTAGTTTTTCAAAAATGCGACACTTACCACTTAGACATGTAAGAGATTATATATTTTATACTTTAGATTTATATATTATATTTATATATTATTGAATACGGCTAATAACCATAGAAGTTGACGCCGTCAAAAAAAAAAAAAAACTCATGGATTTTATCCTTATCCAAAGAATGCGAGATCACATAATACCATAACAGAAAAATATAGCTAACTTATTGAAATTTTCTGGAAAATGCCCCATTATGCAATTCGAATCTCCTGCTACGATCCTGCCTCCGAGCCGTCCCGTAATAAAACTAAACCTTTTGACATCATAACTCTGCAATCATAAAATATGACATTAAAAATACGGTCTAATATTTCAGTCCCTCCGTCTCTGGTCGGCCAATCCTGCATTCCCGCTAAAGCCTGCTTCCTGCCAGCATGAATGCGGTTGGTCCGCTTCACTTTCCTGGGAGATACGAGCCAGGTTCATCGAAGCGCGCACTGCATTTCAACCACTTATCCACTCACAGATACTCTTAAAGATTTTTCAGGCAATTTTCCTGCTAGGGAGAAAACTGCGCAGGATGGGGTGGAAGCTTGAATGTTGAGGTTATATAGCTCGGTTAAAAATTCATGTAAAATGAACTCCGTATGTTGTTCAAACTTATGTAAATAGGATATTTTCTGGAATTGAATCCGACATTATGAAAATCTCATAAATGTCAATTTTTTGGGCTTGGGATTAATAATGGTAAGGGAAAATGGGGTTAACCTAAGTATAGGAATTATATTTCTTATTGTCTGTTATTGACACTTACACCTGTCATATGCTTTAATTTTGGATATTTTGATATACAGGGTGGCGCATCGAAAACGAAACACGCATTTACTGGCAGCTCAGTTTTTTTCTGAAAAACGCCCAGACCCGTCGATTTTGTTTTCGAGGGGGACACAAGTTTGGCAAAAATCACGTTTGCACGTGCAGCCCCCTAAGCGGGGGTGACACCACCCCCAAAATCTTAAACGGAAAGGGGGGTCGAGTGATACCTTATTTTAAAGGACATTCAATTCCCTTTATAATGATGTAAAATTAATGTACTTCAGTTCAGTAGTTTTGAAGATTTATTGATTTAAAGCTTAAATAAAACTAATACATCATCATTAGTGGAGATCAATACATTTGGCAGCAAAGTAATTTAAAAATGAAGAATGAACTGACCCGTTAGGCAAGTAAATGTTGAAAGTGGCTACCATGACTCTCCATGCAATAATAAAGATTTTGCTCAAAACGTTGCCGCACATTTTGCAATATCTGAGGAGTAATTTGAAGGCACTCATTCACAATTCTTTGTCGCAGGTCTTCTATTGATGTTGCCTGGGTAGCATAGATTTTGATTTTTAAATGACCCCACATAAAGAAATCCAAAGGTGATAAATCTGGCGATCTTGGGGGCCATTCAATGGCACCTGTTCTACCAATCCATCGATCTGGATACGTCTGATCTAAATATTGTCGAACACGTAATGCGTAATGTGGTGGGGCACCATCCTGTTGGAACATCAACCTATTGGCAATGTACCGCCGATCATTCTGATTTTCAATTATGACTGTTAATGGAGGATCTATGGCGTCTTCCAGTAATTCCAAATACATTTCACCGGTCAAATTTCCAGGTAAGAAAAAAGAACCAACTAAATGATCGCCAAAAGTCCAGCCCATACATTTAATTTTTGTAAATTATTAAGTAAATTTCTTCTGAAAGTAGTACAAACTAATCTGATGTACCTATAAAGTCTACTTTAAGCTTTAAATCAATAAATCTTCAAAACTACTGAACTGAAAGACATTAACTTTATATCATGATAAAGGGAATTGAAAGACCTTTAAAATAAGGTATCACTCGACCCCCCCTTTCCATTTAAGATTTTAGTGTTGGTGTTACCCCCGCCCAGGGGGCTGCTGTAAATGCGTCTGTTTCGTTTTCGATGCGCCACCCTGTATTTAAGATACATAGGGAAACCGATCGGCTGTATGAGATCCATGTGCTTATTTGACTACCAGGCAGCAAAATAAATAATAAATAAAACAATTAGCATATATTTGATGAGCTTTCTGTCTGACAAATGAAAATGAGTCAATGGTCTTTCTAGAATACAAGGCAACTCCTGAATAAGTGATTTCGGGCAAGGAGAATAAGGCAAAGTGGATACACTATTCGACCAGAATTAAGATTTACTTTTGATGGAGCGTTTCACTTCATGAAAGCATTTTGGAAAAATAATGGTTTTTAAAATGACCGATTCATATTTGATAGAGATTAGCTCTAAGCTTTTGCTGAACTTTCACACCTTGTGCCGGGTGTCCGGCTACAAATTGCCCGCTCTAACTTTTTTATATGACTTTCCAGAAGAAAAAGTTGTATGAAGTTTTTCATGTAATATTTTTTTTATTATTTTGAATTCTGCTATGGAATAAAGTTGTATATTCTTAAATGGAACATCCTAAATTTTCAGGGGAGATTGTAATACACTTTTTTCTAATTCAAAATATGTATGGATTATAATTGGTTTGTTCGAACAGTGGTCGGTGATTTGTCGGTGACTGTGTCTGGGATCCGGCCGTGTGAATTCCATCTATATAGCATAGCAGAGTAAAAGGAACTTGTGCGGTGAGGTCCTAATCACGACCTTTTACTTATTTTCGTTAGTTTGGTCTGAAACTTGAAGTTTGTTTGTAATTTACTTATGTGTATTCGAGTTCGAACCTGTTTGCGTCTAGCCACCTGTGCAATCTCGTATAGAACCGGAATCCATATGATTACATGACACATGCACTTCAAGTTTTTGACGAAAGTAATAAAAATAAGTTTAACAAACCATATTTGGAATCAGAAAAAAAATTGCGACAAGTAGGTTGAATCTGCACGTGGCATTGTGGGCGTGGTAGCGCGGCCAGAGCGTAGAAAACACTACGCTCTTGCTCGGCAGAAATACGTGTGATTCCATAACGCAAAAGTTATCACGGTACGCGATCCGTCTCCCGAGAATATTTTCAGGGCTAATGTACAGGGTGGCCAACTAAAACTGGAGGTACTGTATCTGGGAACTTACCCGTCTTAGAGGCATGCGGCAAAAACAGTTACCACAAAATATTTTCAAGATTCTGAAATGACCGCTGGGGGCGTAACTGCAATGTAGAATCCAAAAAAGTGATGTTTCTGTGAATTCACCTATACTAACCTAACAAAAAAATACCTAATCTTCATATTCGAGGATAATGAACCTTTTTTGTTTGACATTTTTTGTTGTATCTCCAAAAATAAAGTGGTGTGGGGTATTCAAAGGTTTCCGTAAAAAAACGTATCTTTGAATCGGCTGATCAGATTTTAACAAACTTAGCCTAGTTGAAAAGAGCTATTAGTGGGATACAAATGTTCTAATATTTGAAGTTTTGTTAGTTCCACATGTTCCAACAGAAATGATAAATTTTCTGAAGAAAATTAAATGCATTGGTATGCTTTTTTTATGAATGATTAGCTATATGATGTCTAAGCAAGCTCGTGAAAACCGCATCTCGACATCTCATAACCTAAAATATGGCCAAATAAAGTTTTATACGGAAATGCCTTAATTTTTTTTAAACTGATTTTTCTGTGGTGCGTAAAATTACCAACGTTGGGAGCGTATAAATGTAGCAGCAAAAAAAAGCTGAATCTTAATTTTTTTCCAAAAATGATTATGATTCTCTAAAACGTCAAGTTATAGGCGGTTGTTAAATTAGCAAACAGACTGACAGACAGACAGACTTGGTTTTTCGTGATGTACATGTTATATAATATCAAAAAAAAATATCTTATTTATCGTGATTTATAATACTTTCCCCACTGGGAACTAGAAAGGGACTATCATCCTCACTGAAAGTATCTAGGGCGTTCCATCTAAAAATTTTCAATTTTATTCGATAGCACTTTTCTGTATACAAACAAATATTACGAGAAAAACTTGATATTACACGCTATAACTTCTAAATAATTTTGTTTCTTTCAGAAGATCATATAAAGAAGCTAGAAGGGAGATCCATTTATAGCCAGACATCCTCCCAACTAACAATTATCACTCCTATTAGAGTTGCAAGAATGATTATACAGTATTCCTTAAACAGCATTGTATACTGTAAGAACATTGGCAAAACCCTCTTAGAACTGCTATACAAGCGGAATGGGCACACCTAATAGGACACTTCAGTCATTTAAGAGGTTGTATAAGGGCTGCAGGTAACAGTTATACAATAAAAGTGTAAGCCTCTTGCAGCTGCTTAGGACATTTGCGGCAGTGCAAGATTCAGTTTTTGTCAACTATACAACTAATCTGTTACGTGATTCTACTTTATTGCTACCAAACTATTTCTTATGTATTGTATAGACGAAGAAGAATATATAACTAACACATTACAGTCATCTTGTTTACTTGTGAATTTCATACACAGGTATTTGATAAACTTCTACACTGTGCAAATTAGTTACGGAATTTCTACGGGCTTCGTATTTGATTCATATTTTGATAATGATCAAAAGTATGTCTAGATTTTTAAGATAGAAAACTGAACTTATATGCGTTAAATCTTCCACCAATCCTATATTTAGACGCAATTACACTAATGTTTATCATTTTTTATCTGTAATTTCGAACTGAAACATAATTATTTAATATTAAATAGAGGAATAAATGTTTGCCCAATATGGCGGGTGGTTGTGTATAATCATGGCATCGTCCACGTTGTCTTTAGGTTATTAGAATATTTTGGTGTTGCCTGCAGGTGTTATACAACAATTTGACAAATGTCTGAAATGAAATACCGACAGAGTCGAATGATTTACCCAGAATTTGTACCGGATCTATATCTTCTGTCTGAACAGTTGATAAAACATTTTGAACCAATATGCATGCGTTGTTTGTCTTAAAACATTGGTTATGGCATTTTAACAAAAATATGACTGCAGAAAGTTAGGTTATGGTGAAGTTGTATACCAACATATTTAGCATATGTACAGCCTTTAACAGTTGTATAAGTGCTTCCGTTGGGAGCAATTTGTTGGCTAAAGTAGTAAATTGCACAGCAAAACAACAAGGCTCGGGTTTGTTTTATAAACGTTACCATGGATGCCACAACACAACCATTTTGACTAACGTGCAAATATGCCGTATAAAATATTTGTATAAACGTTTATGCAACAGTTAAAAATTTGCCCTATAAGGTGTTGTATAACTATGCTATAAGAATATTTTAAACACCTCACTTTAGAGCAAATATGTTGCAGAAAGCAAATTTGCATTCCACACAACATTAAGCCAGCATTTTGGTGTTCAGGCAACAACAATAGAGAGCTTTTATGGCTGAACGGTTCTTTTACCAAAAGCTTATAACACTACTTTGCTAGTTGAGCTGTACATAACGTTTGGCGGATTCCACAGACACTTACAAAGTGTTTAAAAGCAGCTAATATCAATACTTCGTCAAAGTATCTCCTCTTATGTTTCCAGAATTGTCAATCAAGAAAGCAGATACGTAGGCTTACTTAGGACTCATGCATAATGGCAATCGGACTACCGAGTATGTCTACTACATACGGTGCGGGCGTGGAAGTATGTACGATTTGAAATGTTTCTAGACCCTGCATTAAACAAAATAGTTGATCTCTGAAAAAACGTTTATTCTTAAGTATATTTTTTTCTTGAGTTCATTAAATTTTTTGCAGGTATTCTCTGTTTGACCTTCCTTGGAGCGTTTCCGTCAAAATATAACATATGCATATCAAAAGATAAAAAAGCAAGATACAGGCTATCGAAATAAAGTACCTGCGAAGAGTTGAAGGAGAGGATAGGATAGGAGACAGAATCCGACAGTTGGGTGATAAGAGAATGATTAGGAGTAGAGCCAGTCTTGAAGCTGATTAAACAGAACCAATTAAAAGGTTTGGGTTACATAAGTAGAATGAAGATCTGTCGACAAGTAGAGGCCACATGAAAGGCAAAGCCTATACCAAAAAAAGGAATAAGCCTGAAGAGAACCTGGGATGATCGAGGAGGACAAAGCATTGGACATCAGAACCGAACAAAGACTAACACAATACAGGGAGAAGAGGAGAAATTTGCGAAAAGTACTACAGTTTATTTAATTTGTAATGTGATTTACACCAGTGATTGGTAGAAAGCACGGAAGTAATTGGAAGACAGAATATGTTAAATCTGGCTATTCGACACTGACCTTTGACATTGCGAATAGGTGCATCGCCAAGATGGAAGATGACTTTTTTCTGTGTAAACTTCTTGTCTCTAGAATGTTTACAGCCAGCTCAAGGAGGATGTTAATCTGTTATTTGGCTGTTGTAGTTTTATCAGTCTGAAGTAGAATCTTTGCTTGCTTCGAAGAAGAACTACCGGGTTTGATATTGTAATTTAGGGTCATAGTGGTAAATCCAAGTCTCATCCATAATTCCAAATTGCGGTATACAGTGCTTTTCAAAAAGGTAATTCCTCTACTTATTTTCTGAACGGCTCTACTTAGCAAGCGCTGAAATTTATGCACGAATATTATATTATATTTTAGCGTAAAAGAGTGGGTTGAAAATCTCGAATTGGTGTTTGGGCTCTATTTTGGGACATTTTAAATGGAATGGAATGACTGTGTGATAATTTATCTTCGAGCTCCTTATTAGTAGGTGCATTACAATACTTGAATATAAAGTCACCATCTTCAAAACGCCATAGTATGTTATATCAATCTCTCTTTTGAAAGGTTCTATCCAAATATCAAAATGTCAGAATCTACCAACTTTTTCAAACTGATTTCATATAGCGCATTATTATGTTTTTTAAAACATTTTCCAGAGTCCAGAATCTTTTTTTATCACCCACATATTATTTGCCTTCTGAGACAATACTATCCTACGATATAGCTAAGCCGCTAAAACCCCCTTTTACTTACTACGCCACTGGCGGGGGAGTATTCTAACCACGAAAAATGTATAAAATGATATATTATGGCTTCGGATCTTGTATGATACAACAACAGCTCTCGCTTGTATTATCGATGACATTGTCAGTTCATTAGATTGCAGTAAAGTTGTTTGTTTAATACTACTATAGATTATACTAAAGCTTGAATAATATGGATTTAGCTCTACCGCTGCTGAACTAATAAAAAGCTTTCTTACCAAGATATATCAATATGTATCTATCCATAATGAATTATCTACCAAGTCGACCCTAAGCATGGGTATGCCCCAAGGTTCTATTCTCAGTCCTTTTTAGTTTCTATATACAGGGTGTTTCAGTTTATTGTTGCATAACTTTAAGATTCGATAGAACTTTTAAAATTAATGCATAAAGTCTCTATAAACATGGGTCGAAAAATGCGTGGCTTCCGAAATACAGGGTGTTTAAATCTAGTTTCTAAAATAGTTTTTTTTAAATATTTCGAACAATATTTGATGTATAACAGTGAAAATTGGTATACAAGGGTTTTCTGGTACGACAAAACGAACCATGGGCATAGTTTTACTGTAGCCGCTAGAGGGCGCTCTCTACTGTACCTGTAGTGAATTAAAATGACCGAAAATTTTTTCTTAGTGCAATTTTTTGCTTTTTGAATGAAAAAAACTCATTCTTCGCACTTTTCAACATAAAAAAGCTCTCCTGTGAATTTTTGTTATAGTTAGCCGTTTTTGAGATATTTCGATTTTTAAGGTTCGATGCATTTTTAATTATGTATGACAAACTAACGTTAAAAAGTCAGTATCTTGATAATTTTTAGAAGTAGGCTGTGCCTGCAAATATTTTTGAAATTGAAAGCAGAATAAGGTTAAACGTCAATTCGTTGACAGTTAGTTTTGTTGTCTGTTGAAACCTGAAACGTTTTTTTGCAATTGTGAATGCACGAAATTTAGTTTCTTTAACCTGTTTTTTTTGTAAGTTTTATAAAAGTGCCATTTTTATTCTCCAATCAAGAGTTAGCGGATATTCATTTTGTATATGGCTTTCTAAATGGAAACGCAGTAGAAGCAGCCAGAGAATACGCACGAAGATTTCCAAACAGACGACATCCAACTTGCTCAGTATTTGTAAGAGCGCATCGCCAAATAATTGAAAATGGTTTTGGAAATCTCCAAAGGGATCAAAACGTAAATGTTCATCAGCGCAGATTTACCCGTATGATTCTGCGTGAATTTGATAGAGATCCGACCACAAGTGTTAGGAGAGTTTATGGTGCCTTGGGAATTTCAGCAAGCCATGTTCACCGTGTTCTTAGAAATGACCATAGACGTGCGTACCATTTGCAACCTGTGCAAGGACTACAGCCAGGGGACGGAGAACGAATAATCACATTTTGTCAGTGGATTCTTGATAGAACTGATAATAATAGGGAGTTTGTAAGTAACGTTTTATGGACCGATGAGTCATGCTTCACTAGACGTGGAGTGGTAAATTTTCATAATCAACATATCTGGTCGCATGAAAATCCGCATGCAGTTCGGGAAAGAAATTTTCAGCATGAATTTAGTGTGAACGTGTGGATTGGTATCTACCGTAATCGACTATTTGGACCCTACCTTTTGCCTGCAAGGTTAAATGCTGCGACCTTCTTGGAATTTTTAAAGGCTGAACATGCAAATATGTGGGATGATGTTATGTTAGATTTAAGAAGATTGGCCTGGTTCCAGCTTGATGGTTGTCCAGCTCATTATGCGAGAATAGTTAGAAACTGGCTGGACAAAAATTATCCAGAAAGATGGATCGGCCGTCTAGGACCAGTCGCCTGGCCTCCACGATCCCCTGACCTAAATCCATTAGATTTCTTTGTGTGGGGATTTCTAAAAGAAAAAGTGTACCAGACTCCCGTAACTAAAAGTGATATGCTAATAGACAGAATCAGGACTGCATGTGATGAAATAAGGCCTTATTTGAATAATGCTATACCACGTTCGATCATTCGTAGATGTGAATTGTGTATTGAACAATTGGGTTTACATTTCGAGCAACTACTTTAGATTTTGTATGTTTGTCCTAACTATCCAATAGCATTTTAGTTGTAAATAATTAATTAAATTTCTTAAAAATAATATTGGAAAATTAAACAAATTAATATTCTGTTTTTTTGTGTTTATTTGGAGTTAGGAATTATTGCTGCATTTAAAAACACAATCTAAACGATCATCTTAATTACTTGTAATGCCCAAATCGAAAATGTAAAAAAAATATTATTTTCCATTAAATAATTAAAAATGCATCGAACCTTAAAAATCGTAATATCTCAAAAACGGCTAACTATAACGAAAACTCACAGGAGAGCTTTTTTATGTTGAAAAGTGCGAAAAATCAGTTTTTTTTTATTCAAAAAGCAAAAAATTGCACTATTAATAGATTTCCGGTCATTTTAATACACTACAGGTACAGTGGAGAGCGGCTACAGTAAAACTATGCCCATGGTTCGTTTTGTCGTATCAAAAAACCCTTGTATACCAATTTTCACTGTTATGCATCAAATATTGTTCGAAATATTTGAAAAAAAACTATTTCAGAAAGTAAATTTAAACGCATTTTTCGACCCATGTTTATATAGACTTTATGCATTAATTTTAAAAGTTCTATCGAATCTTAGAGTTTTGCAACAATAAACTGAAACACCCTGTATACAAATGATATAAAACAGCAAAATTCATCACATGCGATGATACACAAGTATACTACAGCTTCGTTATTAACGATGTTGTTCCTTCTTTTAACATAATCAACATCGATCTGGACGTACTTTTCGATATCTCAGCAGGTAAACATTAAATGCAAATATTTTTGGGTTACAAGCGTAATATAAGTTTCATTACCAAATGTAACTGTTAGCAGAAATTTAAGTTTATTGTTTGGCAGTGAATTGAAATTTGATTTCGATGTTAAAGAATTGAATACGTATTATTCTCAAGCAATTATATCTTTAAAGAGACATTACTAAATAGTAAATTAAAAATGTTTTTATGCGAAGCTCTTATAATTTCAAGAGTTTCATACTACGCAAGTGTATATGGACCAGCTACAATAAAAAATGATAAACAGTTGCAACGACTACAAAATTTCTCTAGGCCTGCAGAAATTTGACCATATAAGACATGTTTACAAAGAGAACAGTAAAATGAACACGGAATGTCCCAGAAAGTACCAAAGTTTATGTTTAGTTCATAAGATTTTAGTGAATAGGAAACCAGAATATCTCCTAAATAAACTCATCAAATTTGGAAATATCAATAGCTTGGCTACCAGAAATCAGCAGTTATTAGTGATAGCTAGACACCTCTCCTCCCTCCACAAATAGAGCTTCGCTTATACTGCTGCCAAGCTGTACAACAGCCTTCCATTTGAATTTCATAATTATACTTTGACTAATTTTGAAAAGAATTTGAAAGCGTTGCTACTTATCGATACATAATCACTCCCTCACCACTCTGTCTACCCAATTCTCCTGAATAGTTTTGATATAAATCGGAAACATGAAATATCTCTATCTTTTTTTACTAAAGATATGTCTGCAACAATATGTTGCTGACAATATTTATATTCATTCATCTTATTATCATTTTAAACTGTTTGAGAGAGTATATTCCAACTAGGTACTAAAACGATTGAGCTGAAAAATACGCAATAACCACTATGGCAATACCACATCGATTCGATTCTCTGAATTTTAGTGACTCATTCGTCTATCGCTATCTGTTGCATTTTATTATTATTATTTAACTCATGGAAAACCATGTCGCTCATTTTCGTCGGTCTGTCGGTTAGTTTGTCAATCTGTCTGTCGGCTAGTCCTTGCCCATTGTATAACTTGGCATTTGGGTGACATTTTCACACAAGGGACTCCTGATCAATTTGAACAATTTTTTAGGGATGAATTAGTGGATGAGGCGTTTTAGTGGGGTGGGGAAGGGTGTATCGCAACTTTTTGGCATATTTCACACAGATATTTCCCCGTATATTTGACCTTAAGACTAAAAATGCTTTGCGAACCTCCACGTTACAAACTTGTTACCTGACCAGCTGACAGTTGCGACTACCAGGCCAATATAATTTGTAGAATATCAATAATCAGAGGCGGTGGCAACATTAGGGCTGTAATTATTTAGGTGTGAAAAAATGAACAGAGGTCACTAGTCTTCTGCGAATATGAAGATATGAAGAAAAAAATTAATTGGCACTACTATTTCTTCAGTCATATTCATTGTATTATATGACCAGCTGTGAGGATTCCCATAGCTGGTCAACAGTAAACATACAGGAGGTGAGAAGGCGATTTATATACTATACAGGGTGATTCACAAGTCGTGACAGGACCGCATTTTAAGGGAGGTCTTCTATGTAACATTCTTTTGTCGAGGGCTTTACTGTTGAAGTTGAAAATAATAAACATTTGTTTAATATCTTCAAAACCGTCAACTGGAATGAACTAACATTTGGTATGTGGATTTACCTAAGTATTGTCCACATTCAAAAGTCTTTACTTAAAATTAACGTGCATCAATGGCGGAAATACAGGGGATTAGTGACACTATTTTTCCAAATAAAAATAGTATGCGCAATTTTGCCTTCAATTTTCTAAAAATTACTCTTCTGTTTTTTTCCTAGAGTGCACTGTTTTTGTAAAAATAAAAATGAAACAAATTGGATCATTCATTAAGAGTCGAGATCCAATTAGTTTCAAAATAAAACAGGAGACCTTGATACCAACTTGACTTTTCTTGGGAGATAGATTCTAAAAGTTATGAGTTATACGGTTGATATCATTACTACTACCATTTTCTTTTGTAAAACTCAAGTCAAAAGTTTCTGTTTTTCATTTTTGAGTGTTGTCAAATGGAATTTAGCAATGATGAGTACGCCGATATTATTTTTGTGTACGGATTCTGTAATGGAAATGCTATAGCGGCTTCTCGGGAGTATCAACGTAAATAGACGCCAACCTACCTCAAAGGTGTTTACGCATTCATTTCTAGTAGCTAGAGGCCACCGTGTTCGGCATACTGTTCTAGAGGAACTGGAAGTGATTAATTTTTAGTTGGATGATCCTAGTGCAAGTACTATGTGTATTGCTGGCCAGTTACCATGTTTCCAAAGCCTTGCGTGGAGAATTTTAAATCAGTTCTACATCCTTACCATAGGGAAAATGTGCAATGTGCGGCGACGAAAATCACAGCGAAATTTTTGTAGGTGGTCACTGCAAATGCATAATCAAAATGCAGATTTTATTGATTTGATTTTGTGGTCAGATGAATCGATTTTTACGAGGACTGGAATCTTTAATTCTCATAATGAAAATCTTTGGCCGTTCTGTACGAATCCACTCGTTTTAAGACAGATTTTCTAGAAATGTCTGTGCGGAATTTTCAATGGCCCGCTATTTATGCACTAGCACACGCAAATAAAGCTTTGATTGTCTAAAAGGAGGTGATAGATGGCGCGCAAGTAAGAAGTACTGCATCTGTGGCCTCCGAAATAATTGACCCAAAAATTGAGTTTACAAATAGGTTTAATCGAAAAGTTGCGGTGCATCTTAAAGTTTTTACAATATCCCTCAAAAATTGTGAAGAAATAAGTGCCTGAAACTACTGAAACAGTGAAAATCTTCATTATTCCTGAGAACTGTCAATAGCAACTAGTTCGTCGCCATTATGGGGTTATCGACAACCGATATGCGCGAAATCAAGTCAACAATCATCAATACCTTCAACGAAAAATTTTTACAAGAAATAGTGGGTAAAGTCGTACAACTGGCAGAAAAACAGTTTGAAGAAAGATTTAACAGGAACGAGGAGGAAATACAGACTCTTTGTGACAGGGTCGAGAATTTAGAAAAGGATAATAGACGTCTTATCATGAAAATGGACGATCAAGAGCAAATGGAGAGATCCCAAAATGTCAGAATATTTGGGCTGAAGGAAGAGGGAGCGGAAGATTTGGGTAATGTTATAGTGGATCTGTTTCAAAACAAACTGAAAGTAAACATACAAGAAAAAGATATAGTCAAATACCATCGCATACCAAACAAAAACTCAAATAACAGTACGTCGGCCGTGCTGGTACGGTTCACCTCCAGCGATTCACGGGCATCGGTTTTGAAAAATCGAAAACTGTTGAAAAACACCGGGATTCGTATAAAAGAAGATCTGACTAAATCGCGACTGAAGTTATTTAAAAGATGTATTGATTTGTTTACGAAAAACAATGCGTGGATTCTAAGAGGAAATATTTACGTAAAACAAAACAATGAAGTTCATCGAATCGCCAGTGATGAGGACCTACACAAAATTAATGTTTAAGATGTTTTTTTTTGTAAGGTTTTCAATAAACAATGCAGTGAAGTGAGGTATGTGGGAGGACGGGTGCTGCAGCATTCTAACATGAAGGTAACATTACTGTAGATGTTTTCAAAGTAGTCAGTGTTAGGGGTTATTTCTAGTCGTAAAAAATGTATTAGTATTAACTACTTTGAATGTGGCTTAATCAGTACTCGTCTTTTCGCCTATTATTATTTTTCTTCTTACACTTTTAGGTTAAAAAAATAAGAAATAATTGTTTAATAATAATTAGTACGAATCACAATGTTGTTATGCAATAATTTTAAACGAATTTATCAGTCCATACACATATACTTTGCCAATTTACAGTAATTTTATGGACACTAAATAAAATAAAAATGCCTAATTTCAAAATACATGTCAAGAATAATTAAATTAAGAGAATAAATAATGAATTTCTGTTTCATTCGTATACTCGTTGTTTTTTGGAAAAACCTCAAAAGATGTGGCAGTGGTTTCAGTTTTTTATTTTTCGCAGCAAGTTATGGACTTAATTCTGATAATTTTTGGGAAAAACATAAATTGTGTCTCTGGACCTGCTAATGCCACAGATAAACGCATTGCTGTGAGGGTATGTATGCAAGTACGCATGTATACTTAAGAATGGCAAATATTTTTAGGTTGTTAGGTTTAGTCTCGTTTACAAAATTAAATAAGAACAAAATTGTAATAGTGTTACGTAGAGGTTATAGGTTGACGCGGGGGCATGGGAATGACGGGGATTGGTCTTCGGGGACTGGCAATAGTGAGGAAATAAGGGATAATGGATAATGATAACATAGGTCAGCGAGTGGAGAGTGTTAATGATGAATCAATATTTGATAGTCCACATCAAAACCATTTCACAGTCGGACATCTAAATATCAGATCCATAAATTCTGGATTTGACGAGTTCTGTAATTATATGACAGAATACAATTTTGATATTTTTGGAGTTTCTGAAACGTGGCTCAATCCAACTTTAAGAAGTGAGAGTTTTTGCTTGCCTGGGTACAAATTTATAAGGAATGATAGGCAGGGTCGAGGAGGAGGGGTAGCTTTATACATAAAAAGCGGGTTGAAATATTCAAAGGTAAATGTGGAAATTAACTGTGCAGAAACCATAGGTATAGAATTTAAGATAGGTGGAAAAACTTATCTTTTAGTTAGTAGTTATCGTTCGCCTTCTGAGAGTGTCACTTATTTTTTAGACTCCTTAGAAAATTTTCTCGGTTTTGTCAGTGTCAAGTATGATTATTTATTACTGATAGGAGATCTAAATATTAACATTTTAAATAATTCTGCATACACAAATCGCCTCAAAAATATAATTCATAGTTTTAACTTATCACAAAGGATCAGTGAGCCAACAAGATTCAATTTTGCCACAAGAGAGGCTAGCCTCATTGATATAATCTGTGCTAGTGAGGATCTTATCTCTATCGATTCTAAATCATTGGCAGTTTCTCAAAATCTCTCAGATCATAACTTAATTTACTCAGCCTTTCGAAAATCAAAAATAAATAAATCACAAAAGACTATTAAATATAGAGACTACAATAATATAGATAGAGAATCCTTCTTAAATGAAGGGTTTCTACTTGGGTGGGAGGATATTTACTATATAAGCCAAATCGACCGAAAAATAGAAGTCTTTAATAAAAATATAGTAACTGTTCTGAATAAATATGCTCCAATAAAAACAAAACAAATAACCGAAAAACCTTATGTACCCTGGATAACTCAAAATATAAGAATTTTAATCAGACTAAGAGATAAAGCTCATAAAAAATTTCAAAAATCAAAATCACAGGCTCATTTTGAATATTATAAACAACTAAGGAACTATACAAAGCATGCAATTATCCGAGAAAAAAATACATTCTTTAACTTACTCTCAACAAAGAAAGGTAAGGAATTTTGGGACACTACCAAAAAGCTCAACATAACATGCAAGAAAACTCACTCAACTATACCCGAACACTTACAAAATGTAAATGACATACACAATTACTTCCAGCAGACCGACAATTTACCAGACACTGCTTCCCAAGAATTAATCAATTTTTACAAAAACAATGTAAACATTAACGATTCTCTTAGCTTCCAACTGTTAGACAGGGCCAGTCTAATCAAAATTGTAACTAATATCTCATCAAATGCCATTGGAGAGGATGGTTTCTCTATGAGAGACCTAAAGTTATGTATCCCATTTTGTACGAATGCCTTGCTGAATATAATCAACACATGTATTTTGGGGGGATTATTTCCAGAAATATGGAAGAAAGCTATTGTTAAACCCTTACCAAAAATAGCAGAACCTAAAGAATTTACAGACTTGAGGCCTATTAGCATATTACCCGCTACATCCAAAATTTTAGAAAGGCATATTTATAATCAAATTAGGTTTTTTTGTGACACAAACGATATCATACCAGATAGTCAATCCGGTTTTAGAAAAAACTTTAGCACAAGTACATCATTAGTTAATATCTTGGATGATATCAGACATCATCAAGAACAAAAAAATAGTACGTGCATGGTTCTTCTCGACTTTAGTAAAGCGTTCGACACTCTGAATCATGAAATGTTACTAGCTAAGTTACATTACCAGGGGTTTTCGCAGAACTCCGTAAATCTAATAAAAACATACTTAAGTAACCGTTCAAACTGTGTTATGTTAGCAAATGATTCTGCTATTTACAAAACCGATTTTAAACCTATAAAAAGAGGAGTTCCTCAAGGTTCAATTTTATCTCCTTTGCTATTTTCAATCTACATATCTGACATGGTCAAATCGGTAAAATTCGCAAAGATAAAACAATATGCAGATGACTCACAAATATATCTCCCTGTCAATAAAACCACAATCCATATTGCACAACAACAACTAAATTCAGATCTCCAAAGAATTGACACATTTGCAAAGCATCACAATCTTAAACTAAACCCCTCAAAATCGCAAGTAATGGTTATGAATAAAAACAGTATTGAAAGAGAACATTTTGAACAAAATTTAGTAATTTCTATTAACAATGACAGAATCCCCATAGTTCAGGAGACAAAAAATCTGGGCATTATATTTGATAGCTCGCTTGGCTTCGGCAGTCATATAAAAAACAGAACAAATTTAGCTTACATGCGACTAAAAAATATAAACAAATTAAAAAAGCATTTATCAGCCAAACAAAAATATTATTTGTGTAATACCTTAATTTTATCACTTTTTGACTATGGAGATGTCGTCTATGGTGATTCGCTATCGTCGCGAACCAAAAAATGCATACAAAAAGTACAAAATAGTTGCATGAGATTTGCATTTGGAATTCCATATCGAAACCATATCACTCCTTATCTGAATAACTACAACATATTAAACATGACGAATCGCAGAAAATATCACATGTATTCTTTTATCTATAGGGTTATAAAAACAGGTCAACCGCCCTATTTAAGAGAAAGATTTGTGCCTTTGCCTAGTGCCCAGAGAAGTAGAAATAATCTCAATTTTATCGTACCTAGGCATAGAACGCGTTCCTTCCGACAATCGTTTGCCTATGTGGCGGTTCACTTATGGAATAATTTACCAACTTCAGTTAAAAGCTCATCGTCAAAAACATTCTCAAAACTGACAAAAACGTTGTTACAGAATCACCAGCTACTTTAGCAGCGTTTGTGTGAGCAAAAATAACGTTTTTACATTCCTACTCGCTGACAAGTTGTATAGATTTGTTTTTCGCGTCCGTTGCCAGCTCCCGGGGGTTCTCTTTTCTCTTCGTTTTTGCCTTTTTTGTGTTTCACCGCCTCTTCATTTGCCTCTTTATTGTATTTGTTATTTTTTTTAAGAACTTTTAGGGTATTCAGGGCTTTCTCGCATGGACTCTTTGTATTAAAGGGTCCAATGTATCGGTTTTATAATCGAGGGACTGTCCTTTTTCGTCATTACTCTATATGTAGAATTTCTTTTGTTTATGATGTTTATTCATGACGAAATAAATATTTTGAATTTGAATTTGAATTTTGAATTTTAATGTGTTTATTTTTTAATTTTACGAAAACAATGCACTCTAGGAAAAAACCTACAAAGGTAATTATTTGTTGGTAAAATCCGAAAAATTTTCTAAAAAAAAACAAACTGCACACCAAATTTTAGTGCAATCCAGTTGATGGCTTTGCAGATATTAAAAAAGATATTTTTAAACTTTAACCCCCGTATCTGGTTAGAAGACCCCCCTTAAAAAGCGGTCCTGTGTATGATGTTTTATTTTTGGTCACGGCCTGAGAATCACTCTGTATATCGTGCGTAATCATAATTTATGTATAGTCCATAATTTCAATTTTTGCCAAATCATCAATACTTTCTCTAGTATTCAGTCTATTCTACGCTCTTATGTTAGGGTACCAGATTTTTCATAGCGGGCAAACAATAAACATAACAGAGCGTACAAAAGTTGACTCAGATGCTATACGTGACACCATTTTTTTCAGAGCGAAACAGTGACCATAAAGGAAAAGAGCAAGCGGAACTGATTGCGATATAGAATCGTGAGATAAGCAGACGCGTTTCCCTCATGGCATTATTTCCGTTATCGGAAACACAAACAGGGCAGAGTTGAAGCTCGAGGTCGAAGCTAGGTAGCTGCTCAGCATGGAAATGTCACTGATTTATGTTCAGCTATGCTTTGGACGTGTATAGCTCCGGAGGATTTTCATAGTCCAGGAATATGAAGAGGGTTGAGTTGAAACTTGACGTTGAAGCTATGCTCAGCATAGAAACGCCGCTGATTTATGTTTAGCTATGCATGGACGGTTATAGATTCAGAGGATTTACATAGTCCAGGGATTTTAGAAATATACATGGCGATTAAGAAGGAGGGGACTTGCTACGGTGCCCCAAGGTAACGAAGTTGAATCATAGGGACATTTCTTAACAGAATATATTTATTATGGTGCGTATCCCAGAATGCGATGCCTGCCAATATCCATCGTTTGTTATTAAGTTATACTTGAAAAGCTATATTTTTGGAAGCGGGCTAGAATTTTGTGCAAGCATACAAGAATACTTCTAAACAAGAAATCGAGTAGCTGCATTCCAAAACTATTCGCCAAACTCCATATGCCGGTCAAATATTACCCCATCCCATCCCCTAGAAAATGGGGCTATAGCCTTTTTTGTTGTTGATTGTAGGAAATCAAGTTATCATTATAATGTTACTCATGCTTACTTTATTCATAATATGATTGTACTATACTGTAAGCCTACCCAACCATGACAGTCCAAGAAAATTACGAGATACCGCCGTTGATATGATTGCTTGCAATATTAATTTGACCTTCCATATAGTTCAGTTCATGCACGTGGTTGCATGACTTTACCTAGGAATTTTAGTATCTCTGGTTTCCATAAAGATCTGGAATTGCTATAGATACGATAATTCATACTAGTAAGAAGTATTTTTTCTCTGTTGACTATAGTCTCCACCAGAGTTCATTAAGCAGTCTTTTGTGAACATACTATTTGATAAAGATTTCCCGTCACATGCGCAGAAATACAGCCAAAAAAATTTTACACAAGGTAATTCCAAAACATGGGTGGCTCTTCAAGCTATTTAACAACTATTCAAATTTGTCTAAATGGGTGGATTTCATTTTCAGAATGTATTCTATGAATCCTACTTTATTTGAAACTATACATACATATGTATACTCGTAGAAATACCTACTTTTGCATCTTTTCCAGTTATTCAAGATCACTTTTACAGGCGAGCTCTACATTGTCTACATGTAGGCAATGGTGTATTTTACACCATGCACCCATCACTGGTTTTGAAGATACAAGCCACCAAAGCAGGATTTCTTAACGTTTTTTAGATACGGGCCTCTAAGAAATCAAGCACAGTTTCTAAGGAGGTCCTTAGAAATTGTGCTTACTATTATATAATTACTTATATAATTAATAAAAAAGGCAGTAATACATTTTGGATAGTTGAAAGCATCTCCTTTTCTTCATTTTTTTATTCTAGGCAGATTTACGGAGACGCAGTGGTGGTTCCTGCTCCCCTCATTTATGTTGATGAAGTTTTTTTTGGTGCCTCCAGGGAGAACACTAATTTAGATTGTCAGGGACAGAGTATACCTAACGCAATATTTCTAAACTATAAGCACGCTGTAAAATAATGGCTCAAGGGTAATATATTTTTAAGCCTGATTCTGATCTTAAAGATCATTATTTCAAAAAGAAGATCACAAAACATACTGTATACTAATGTACTCGTATATCTCGATGGAGACATGGATTTTTATATGACTTTATATGACCAGGAGGTTGCAACTGCTTGGGAAGTTTAGACCATAACTAATCGAGTTTCGGAAAGCACCGGTAGAGAAATTATGCAAGACTACCAAATCAAATACTGTGAACTTCAAGGAGTAAGTAACACTAAACATTCATGTGACTTTAAAGTCAAACTTATTATCTGGCGATGCTTTTTTATTAGAATGTGGATCTCTCGGTACGTCCTAACACTGCATTGTTAATATTTATGTAAGCTATGTTTTTCGATAGGTTTGTCCTCTTATTGATTTAAAATAAATAATATTCGAGAGTCAATATGATTGCATTGTAAATACGATTAGACAGACACATCCTGTGTTAGTGCGCTATGCACCTATTGACATTTTTTTATTGATGTGTTTGCAGTGTGACGGCATCATATAGGAACGATCGTCAATTATTTTGATCGTTTTGTATGCCCAGTTGGGTCTAATTAGGGTGTCATAAACTGACAAATAAGACACGTATTCAGTTTGCATCTGGCCAATTAAAACGCGATCAATGAATTATGTAGCGTCGTCGGTGTTTTCACGGATGGAAGGACGAGGTAACTGACGAAGCTCACTGGCGGATGTAGACGGAAGAATGTGGGTATTAAGATCACAAAAAGCTGAAAATGCTTATAAAAAAAAGTAGAGGTACTTTTCATTTTCCACGCTAATTTTTGGTATGTCTGTATGACTCTCGGTTTGTCTGCTAGCTGATCGTTGGCACCCCAGTAAGTTGAAAAGTACCGCTGAGATTTTGAAGAAACTTGCACACTAGCTTTGTAGGACTTCAAACTTGATCAATTCGCAGCCGAGCTACGGGCAAAAAAATATATCGCTCAAACGTTTGTTGACGTTCCATTAACATGTTTGTATGTGGCTGAAAATTGGGAGTTGAAGGTTGTAGTGGCGAGAGGTTGTAAATGTTGCATCTGTGATATCGGTAGAAGATGTTCTATTGTCAAGGAGCTGCTGCCCTCGTTAATATTATGCAGCTTTTAGACAAATTACAATGGTGGTGGTTCAAAGGCGGCAAAAGTACGTGGTACAGGCATACCATGAGGATGCGGCACATATTTTGGTGTTATCAGGTTTTGCTTCAGGCTTGGGCACGGTGAAACGGAAACTATTGCTAAACTCCAGCAGATCTATGGAGATAGCGTTTTGTCAAGAGTACATTTGGGTGGTTTAAGGCATTTTTAGAGCGGAGAGAGTCGAGTATTTGTCCAGTAAAAATATTCCTGTGGTTCCCGAGCCTCCTTATTCGCCTGACTTGTGATTTTTTTCTCTTCCCGAAATTGAAAGATCACCTCAAGGGAACTCATTTTGGGCCAGTCACTCATTTACAGACCTTGTATGTAGTTAAAGCCACGTACGTAGTCAGGTTCATATGGCGTTAGGTATAGAAATAAATCAAACGACCGGACGCCATATTTTTTAATTAATGCAGCTAGAAAGTAGATTTCACCTACCAATCTGTTCTTATTGTAAAAAGCTTAAATAAGACGATCTTGCTCATTGCTTGAATAAGTTACAATTAGACAGTTTCTATTGAAAGATCCTTACCAGATACAACGCTCTTCAGACAGTCCACACTGCGAGACCGCTATGTAGAATGGTGCAATGGTGGTCTTACTGACATTTCCCTAAATTCCTGCAACCCACACATCGCTAGCATGGCTTCTGGGTTGCAGGCTTGTAGGATAATGAATGCGGTATGCTTTTGAAGCAAGATGCAGTAGTGGAAATCTCACCGTGGCACTCCTAACCTCCTGATAATCCAGTGCCCCCCTAAAATTTGCTTATACTAAGTGACACATAAATCCGAACACCCAGTCTAAATGGTTTTATTTTAATAAAATTTTGTATAAGTACTTAATGAAGCATTATAAGTAAATGATAAAAATTTCAAAATGATTGCACTGCTTTAAAGCGCTTTGACCTTTAATAATGTGTGGATGCACCCTGATGTGCTACGCATTCTAAAACGCGCCTAGGCATGCTTCTGATCAGGTGGTCAATGTCCTCCTGTGGTATCTCATTCCAGGCAACCACCAACTCCTCTCGAAGTGCTTCTAGAGTCTGAGGAGGACGTTGCAAATTGAGCAATCTCCTACCCATCATATCCCACACGTGCTCAATTGGGGATAAGTCGGGAGATCTTGGTGGCCATGGTAACAATGTGACATCATTATGTTGAAAGAAGTCTATCGTGACTCTTGCAACATATGGTCGGGCATTATCTTGTTGGAAAGTTGGATCTGCCAGGGTGTCAAGATAGGGTAAAAGATGGGGTTCTAGAACTTCGTGGATATAACGCTGCGCGTTCATGTTACTTCTGATGAAGATTAAAGGTGACCTGGAACCATAAGCTATAGCACCCCAAACCATAACTCCAACAGTGTGATGAACATGTCCTTCAACAAAAAACTGTGGATTCCTCCTTTCACCACGTCGCCTTCTAACCCTGGCACAACCATCGTGCATGCCTAAACAAAATCGAGACTCGTCACTAAAGACAATACTGTTCCATTCCTGATCCCAGAGTGACCGTTGTCTGCACCACTCAAGGCGATTACGTCGGTGTTCTCGAGTTAAAGGGGGGACTTCTCATTCGTCGGTAAGCACTTCGCATGCCAATAGGTCTTCCGTGTTCTGCAATCCATTCATTTGCAATGGACCTGGTAGTGGAGAAACGGTCCCTTAAGGCCAATAATCTTAGGCGGCCATCTTCACGGCCTGTTGTTCTACGGCGGCGTCCAGTGCCCCTTGCTCTTTGCGTACGGCCTTCTAGAAGCCATGCCTGCCCGAAAAGAAAGTCCAGCTTCCCGAAGTCCCACTATACGGCCCCTATCAACTCACTAAGTTGACGAAATCGTACAAGTCTCCGTACTCTAGGCATCGTAACCGATCGTAAATAATGTCAAGAACCAAAATCCGCCAACGTTGATTCTTTACTGCGGCTGAAATATTCATTTTTAGAGCGTTAGTGAATTAAAAAAAAGCAGTATAAAAACCGAAATGTCCAACTGATAAGGCTGAAAATTTTTTCACTTGTTATTTACAGTAAGATAAATACATTCACCAACTTTTATTAAAATGAAACCATTTAAACTGGGTGTTCGGATTTATATGTCACTTAGTATATTTAGCATGACTTTGAGTACAATGTGTAGATTTCTGAGATATGCTTTTAAAAAATCTTTCGGGAGCTTATCCACTATCTCAATATATAAAAGGTTATACTTGACGTTTTTAGTACGTCTATGGTTGATCGTTACAGCTCTGGATGTATGTGTAGGTGTGCTCCAATCTAATTAAATATTACTCCAGGGATAACGAGGTTGACGTTGCCTAGGAAATCGATACCTTTACCTCCTACGAGTATTTATAATTCTTCCATTTCAAACATCGTAATTGTGCAGAGTGAGACATAACAAAAGCTGGGTACTAGCAGTTCAACCAGTAAAACGTCACATGAATCAGTTCATAAAGCTATCAAGTCACGTTTGTACGCCGAGGTCCAAGTGAATATTACATGAAATTCTAGTTGAGCATACTCATGGAACTGATTATTAAA